GATGGGCCTCCCCACCCCCAAAACTTGGTAGTGGCCGGTCTCCCCGTCTTATTGTCTGATCTCTGCCATACACGTCAATTTTTGTGATCATTTTAGATATTGGCAGTCACAAACCCGCATTGTTCAGTATTATATGTGAGTATAGAGTGCAGCTCACATGGTTTGTTTTTTTTTTTTTTTTTTTGCCATCAGCTGAAAATATTGCTTTACAATACAAATGATCAGTAATACATGTAAATTATCTCTTAAATGGTTAATCCATCCCTCAATCCTCCATACCCCAGATCTAGTCTATAGATGGCGCATGGTTCATAGATGAACGGGGCTGTAGATAATGGGGCACTCCAGTGTGGTGGAGAGGAACTGAACTTTTAGGATTTATACCGGCCACAGGCTGATTGTGACACACTGGGATATTCAGGCAGTTTTCATGGATCCTCAGGATGTCTCCTGTATGTAATGAGGTACATAACTTGCTGCTCTCTGAAGTTGCAGACGATCCTGGAAAATAGACGTCTAGAGTCTATGATGAAGTTTTGTTAGGCGAGTGATTCCTTGGTTGGCTTTGTTTAACAAGGTCAGTGTGTGTTGTGCTATGTGAGTTTCTCATTGTCGGTTCTTGTGGTGTTCTGGGGTAGAGGAAATCCCCTCCAGGATTCACCCGGGTGGAACTTTCTGTTCTATGCTGGAGGATTGTTTCACTTTCTCCCGAGTTGCTTTGTCACCTCGGCATTGGCTGTAGGGATTTGTAGTCTTCCTGCGCTCTCATCTCCTCCCTTTACAGCCAGTGAATCATTGCTGTGAACTACGGCTCCCGGCATACTCGGCGCTGCCCTAGCCTGTGTGATCGTTATGGGTGTGTCCTTGTTGTGGTGTCTGCTGCTTATTGGCCATCAGGAGCTTGGTGGCCTCTTTCTATTGGCTGGGTGTATTCCTCAACTTTTTGTTCTGTTGAATTCTCCCCCCTCCACCCCACTCTGGCATCCTTGCAACTACACTGTGATCCAAGCTGTGCTGGATGTCTGTCATACTGCAATCTATGGGGACAGGCGAGGGCCATGACAAATCTACTGTAGCTTAGTTTTGTGCAATTCATTTTATCAGTGAGGTTCAGGAAATAAAATCAATCAAGTCATCACTCTAAACATTTTATTTTGCTAAAAGGCTAATTGTCTTTTTCAGTAAATAGATTTGGTGTTTAATGTGGATGTAAGATGTGTACATGTGTGACTTCATGTCGTGGATTGGATTTCATATATTGATATATGCAGATCGTGGTTTGGAGACCACCAAGAGGAGGAAAGACAATTTTTTTTTTTTTTTTTTTTAGAATTGGCTAACGTAAGTGTGGAAATTTTCCATCACTTTAAACTGCCTTTACCTGCTGTATACAGGTATGTTTGCTTCTATCCATACTGTAACTTTTACAATGGATGGAAAATACACTTTACATAGCATAAAGGTGGCAGCTTCCATACCTCAAGGAACAAAGAAGAAAAAATGATTTTTTTAAAGAGGTAATTCTTGGGTTCAGTTACCTATAGAAGGCAGGGGGAGGGTACAGCTGGCTCTGCCTCTGGATAGGCAGAGCCAGCTGTCACTCACGCAGATGGCTGGATCTCAACAATTGTTGGGATCCGTTCCGCCTGCGGCGTCTCAGTATACTGCGAGCTGTAGCTTTGGGTGATGAGAGGACGCTAGTTTGTGTCCTCCCGTTACCCTTAGGAGAACTATGGGGAAAAGCCTTAACCCCATAGTTCTCCTTTAAATACCAAGTACAGCTGATTATCTGCTGTGTATGGTGACACGCGAGGCATTTGTATTTAGCACTCAATCTAAATCAACAAATCTAAGTCTTTAGGCATAAGTGGCATACTACCTTTTTAATGGTATTGGCCATCTAGTTTTACATTGTTTTATGTAATGCCGTTTGCAGAACTGGGAAATGGCTAATTCTTGTGGGTTGTTTCTTTCGTTTCAGGTGTGGACACTGTAAGAAGCTTGCTCCTGAGTTTGAAGTTGCTGCCACAAAACTGAAGGGAACTGTTGCACTGGCAAAGGTATTAGCATGCTGTTTGTAGGAAAACAATGTGTGAGGGCATCTAATGTTTTAAGACACAGCAATGCAGACTTTCACAGATTGCTATACATGCTTTGTTTACCCCTTAATTGAACTACAACAGTGAAGTTAGACGCAGAGCCCTTCACATGACACGTGTCCTCGTTTTATAGTGGGAATGATTTAAAATACCTGTCATTATCAGGGCTTGAAAAATGTGATGGTGTCTCGTCAGTCAAACATTTCACCAGTCAGCATGACCGGACTATAGCCTTGCAATTTATGTAAAAAAATTTTGGGGACAGAGCTTTCTTTTGGGGGTATATAATCACCACTGGTGGGGGGGTGTTGTTTTTTTTAATATATAATGAAAAAAGTACCATAAATGTAAAAAAAAAACAGTTTCCCTACGTTATGTTATAAAACATTTTGTTCTTACCCATATTTTTAGTAAAACATAAAATTCGGGGTCACGTTGGGTAAATAGACACCAAACATGTCAAGCATTAAAATTGCGTGCGCCCGAAAAAAACGCCCATAGGGGACGATTAAAGCGCTTTTTCTGCTCATCAGTTTAGTGTTATCAGTGATTAATGGCTCTAAAATTATTGCTCTCACTCCGACGTTTGCGGCGATATTTAACATGTGTGTTTTTAGCCGATTAATATGTGAAGACTGGTCAGATCGATGCGTTAAGAGTGGTTGGTCACCTTTTTTTGATTTTGGGTTTGAAAGGAGTTTCATGTTACACCCAATGGTCACAATCACCCCCTTCACTTGACTCTTATTAACCCCTTAGTGACCAGTGATGTCCATAGTACGTCACTGGCACCGGACCCATTTAAACAGACTCCCTGCATTTAAAGACGCTGGGACTCTGTTTACAACTGTAAAGCTGTCTGTCGGCTTTCCAATAGAAGCAATTCTGACGACTTGGCTGTCGACAGATTGCTTCTCCGGGCCGGTAAACGGCCCTCCACCCCTGCCATGTTTCCTGGGCTCCGCTGCCCCTCCTACGTGCCCGGGACTGGCATCTTGGCTGTCGGTGGAAAGCTGGGGAGGAGAGCGGCAAACCTCCGTTCACCGATCTCCTACACGTTCTATGGGACCGGGAGCGACGCATATTGCATCACTTCCGGTACCATAGCTGTCATTGCTGGGCTCCTGTAGCCCGGCAATAAGCTATTGAAGTGCAATCTGCACTTCAATAGCTTATTTCAAGTTGAAAGGTGACACTAGGGGTCTTTGGACCCCCTCAGTGTCACCCTAAAGAGTACCTGTCACCACCTATCGTATTGAGTGATTGTAAGCCTCCTTATGTGATAGCAATTAAAGTTTTTTTACAATTTTTTACATTACATATTTGTTAAAAGTCCCCTGCGAGCACACGCGTGATTACGTAACAATGCGTCGGGTGTGCCTACGTACGAAAATGATTGCGCTACACATTTGGTATCGCTGCACACGCCAGAATGAGAACAATAATTCTAGGGCCAATATTTATGCGCATCTCAAAACTGATGACCTGTTGGGGCTTTTAAAGCGTCTATGGACTTTTTGGGGTACTTAATTTTGCTGCAGTTTCAGACGCATGCAATGTTGGGTATCTAATTACTCATTGTAGCCTCTTATATTTTAAAAATATGGCTATTTTCTTGTGTTTTTTGGGGCACTAAATTGAAGTGCATTTTTCACGAATTTTTTTTGCGCTAATATTATGCAGCATAAAATTTTTCTGCTGCCATTTCATTCTACAAGGCTTTGGCTTTCAGAAAATGTTTGTGGGTTTGAAGTAGTTTTCAGGCCTAAAATGTGGATTATAACATGGGTGCAAAAATTATTTTTTAAAAAGGCCTCGGCATTAAGGGGTTGATGTGTGTGCATTTGTTTCTGAAATCTGTATAGTTGGATGTTGGGTCATCTGGGAGGAATATATTTAAAAAGTACTGCTTAGTCTGCCCACACAAATTATACCGGTGGCAGGTGCAAAAGCTGAATGCAGGTTAAACTTGCAAAATCTAAGCAGGGCTAAATGAATCTGTTAGTCCCCAGGAATCCATGATTGGTCATCTCCATGGGGCCAAGTTTTAAAACCAGTTGGTATTGGCAGCTTTAACTTTTTACCTGTTACAAGTACATTGAATGTTCTGTATCGTTCACTGTAGCATAAGACTGGATCTGGAGGTTGCCAGGTGGCAAATACAGTTCATATGTAAACTTCTGGTTGCCAGAGTTATGCATCCCTCCTGGTTTTATGAATTGGTTGCCTGATCTAGACTTTTCATTGTTTGAACAAGGTCATAAGTGCCAGCCTAATGTCGGCCAGATATTGGCTTACAATGTTTGCCTGCCAGTGTGTAAATATCATTACAAGTTCTACAAAATACAGTAACCCATGAAAGGGAATTTAGGTTGTTTCCTATGGGCTACTGTAATTTAGTTTTCATGTAAACTCAGTCTGTAAAGGTCTTCTAGTTTATTTAAACATAGCTTTAATAGGTCGTCTTTGTGTTCAGGTTGACTGCACAGCAAACTCCAACACTTGCAACAAGTATGGAGTAAGCGGGTACCCCACTATTAAAATCTTCCGAGATGGAGAGGAGTCTGGTGCTTATGATGGGCCAAGGAGTGCCGGTAAGAAACTCTGGAAGCATTGAAACGAGTTGCTCTTCAGGAGCTTGTAAACTTCTGTTGTCTAAATGACTTGTTATAACATGCATAAGGGATGATTTATACATGGGGGTTCATACTGTATTCCCACCACTAGATGTAGCTAAGGAAATCCCTTTGTTCCTGGACTCTTGTCTTGTGGCAGGAATGCTGTGTGAGCATCATGTATAAATCATCCTCTATGCAGGTTACAAGAAGTCATTTTAGACTGGGTGAATGATTTATCAATGATCCCTTCAGGGTATAACTATTGGTAAAACTAGATGTCCCGATGCCACTTTTTCAGGCCCGAGTACAAGTGCATCCCCTCATGTACTTGCCGATACCAATTACCGATACTTTTTCTTAAAGGGACAGGTGACTTTAAATGATCCATAGTACAACTACATGTTATGTACTATGGATCATGGTTTAACCTATTCATGTTAGCAGGGGAGAATTGTAACTCTATTGCTGGAGTGTAGTGGAGGTGTGTGCTGTATATATGTACAACATATACATTACACACGTCCAGTACACTACAGCAATAGATTTACAGCCAGCCCCGTCCCAGCTTCCCTTACTCACAGTTTCACTCCGATTCCCCATATATCGGGCCCGATTCCGATGCTAGCATTGGTATCGGGACATCCCTAGGTAAAACCATTTACAGCTGCAAACAATTATCTTCAATTATTTGGCTATTTTGTGAGGTGTTTTTTTGTTTTTTTTCTTGACTAATTGGATAAAAAAATAAATGCGTACTATTCTTGAAAATAAAATACACAAATGCAATGTTGCATACATAAAGCTTGCTTCAGGAAAAAAAACTGCATGCACAATTCTTGCAATTGCACTGGAACACAACATTGTGGTACGCTGTCGGTGGGAGGCACGTTTGGGATGCCATTGAAATGACTGGCACTGCAAGCACATCCCGCAGCAGAATGTCAGGCTGAAACCAAACTTTTTGGCACATGGCGCTTAAATAGCTTCAGCCAGGGATTGACAGCTGCCAGTGACAAGATTCCGCAGATGGCAGTTAAATGTAAATACAGCAGGTAGAGGGCTGGTGCAATAGCCAGCCTACTATTGGCCATTTTAAATTGCAATGGCCTATAGCAGGCTGGCTATTGCACCTGCCCACTGCTTGCTGTATCCTCCTCCCAGCATGGAGGAGAGGGCTAGGGGATCCAACTAACCGATATGAGAATAGTTGACAACTATTCTCATAATCGGTTATCAATTAATCTTAGTTGGTTGCGGCCCTAAAATTAATACATAGTCCTTATGTTGCCATGGGTATATACAAGGATTAACGGCCCTTAGCTGGATCACTAATCTACTACACCATTAGTAGTATGCTGTAATTGGTGTGATCTGCTCATGCTCAATTGCCTATTTTCAGGTAGTAATGGCCATCAGCTGGACAACAAATGTAAATTAAATGCAAAGTAGGTCACAACAGGAAGTTGGGTGAGAAGCGATATAAATCTGTCTGCACAAGGGGGGTTTTTACTGTCGGAGCAGTAAAAGTATGGAGTTCTCTGCAGTTGTATGAGCTAAAAGCATTGATAAGATCAAACACTTAGATTAGTTTGTCAGGTTTACACAGTATACAGGGATTTGGTAGTTGATGTGTGTGTATATGCACACGTCTGTATTCAACCTCGCCTATCATGTTTTATGCAGTGCCGTACTCACCAGTAGATATATATATATATATACACATACACAAAGGTGACAATACATAAGATACTGCAAATGACACATTGTATAATCTATACAGAATTCCTTTTTTTTTATTTTAAATATCCATTTGTTTTCGTGGTGTTTTTTTTGTTTTAGTACTATTCTTGGATTGTGACCCAATTTCCTCACTCGGAAAAAGGAAATTTTCTGCCCAATGGTTTACTTGGCGCTTTCCTTCTTGAACATTTTAGACTATTTTATGTAGAGCAGAGAAAATACATTTGTTTTAATTGCAGATCAACACAATAACTTAATGGAAAGGTTGGGGTTGGGGTGGGGATACTTTTCTGCAATGTATTAATTTTTTTTTTTTTTTTTCTCTCTATCAGATGGGATTGTCAGCACTATGAAGAAGCAGGCTGGGCCTGCGTCAGTGACTCTGCGCTCTGTGGATGAGTTTGAGAAATTCATAGCAGATTCTGATGCCTCAGTGGTTGGTGAGTGGAAACCTCTCGGCTCCATAGAAAATGCCCTTTGTTCCTTTTCATAAAAGTCTGAGACTGGGTCTGTTCCACTTTAGGCTTCTTCCGTGATCTGTACAGCGATCCTCATCAGGAGTACTTGAAGGCTGCCAACACACTGAGGGAGAAGTACCGGTTTGCGCACACTGATGATGATGGGCTGGTGAATAAATATGACAACAATGGCGAGTAAGTGCACCTGTCTGGCTCACAGACAAATTCTAGAACAGAAGCTGACTGTCAAATTATATTAACCTATTCTTTTCTTAGGGGCATCGTTCTGTTCCGTCCACCTCGTCTTGCAAACAAGTTTGAAGATGGCTCAGTCTCCTTCCCTGCAGATGAGAAAATTACATCCCATAAAATTAAGAAGTTCATCCAGGATAACATGTGAGTAATTTGGTTTTAAAAAAATTCCATAAAACTGGTCTGCACATGCAAGTACAGTTGTGTAAACAGACTGGGGTTATTCTTCCTGAACAAATTTTGCCTTTCACTGAAAATGGTTTTAGGCCAGCCTACTATTCCACATATAGGAATTCTTCCAATTGGCTATTTTCCGAGACTTTAAAAAAAAAAAATTTTTTAACTGATGGTCTCCTGCTGAAGAAAGATCCGGATCTTAAATCAAATGCGAAATTCTGTTTTGGAAAAAGTATTAGGCTAAAGGCTCAAGATGGGTGTTCATTGTTGTCTATACCCCTGCTGGATAGATTGCCATGGTCATAGTGACACAAATGAGGGAATCTGGTGACAACAGACATTTTTGGAAATGTTGTTTGAGGGCAAATCTTCCAATATGACAACAAAGTGAGGGGGGGTCCTTTCTTTTGTCTCTGGGACAGGAAGTAGGGGAATATTTCCCAACCCAGAGGGCAGAAAACCTGATCAGGATTTAAACAATTCCTTAATCGAACAAAATATCTATAGACTCACTTTAGGGGTTTTGTGAACTGGAGCAGAGTGTAGGTCTCTGCGTATGATTTCTTACAAATCATCTGGTGCCTTCAAGTTATTAAAGTTAATCAATCAAACTGTAGCTTGCCTCTAAATTGGGACTCTTCTGTGGTTACCCGGTTTACCCTCCAGGCCTAATGGTTACCGTTTTTTCTTATTGTCTGGCCAATGTATAATGGTTACGTTGTGAAAGAGTTTGGAATCATTTACAGTGACTGGAAGTGCATAACCATGTAGTGTGTGTATTGGCATAGTTCTAATTTTATATTTATAGGTCGTCTTCAGTCACTCACACCACCACTTTTTTTTTTTGCTCTCCCCTTGTGATTTTTCTGGCTAAAAAGAGCTGTACAGCAGCCTTCTGACCTCCTGGAGCTGATAGGAAAGTGGCATGATAAGGGAGGTTGTGGCCCCCTACTGCAGAGAAGCTGCACATGCAGACTCACTTATTGGTCGTCTGTTTTAGTAGATGCCTTTTATGAAGCATTCTTTGTTTATGGGGAGCCTGCCATAGAGGAGTTTCAAATCTAGACCCATTTAGAGATGAAAACCAAGCTTTAAGAAATCATATGCTTGTCTTGACTGCTAGTGGTGAGAGAATTTAATTTTGCATTCTCATCACTTGGCAGGTAATGTTTTTAGCATGAACAAAATCCTATAGTGTCATTTTGCAACTGTATGTAGGAATTCTTCCATGTCCAGTAGGGCTGCAACCAACTAATCGATCAATGAGAATAGTTGTCAACTATTCTCATTATCATTTTGTTGGTTTGATCCCCTAGCTCTCTCCTCCATGCTGGGAGGAGGACACAGCAAGCAGTGGGTGGGTATAATAGCCAGCCTGCTATTGCTATTTGAAATTGGCAATAGCAAGCTGGCTATTGCACCTGCCCACTACCTGCTGTATTCACATTCAGCTGCTGTCTGCAGGATCTTGCCACTGGCAGCTGTCATTCCTTAGGAGAAGCTATTCTGCTGCGGAGTTGTGTTGTAGTGCCATCATTTCAATGGCACCCCAAAGCACCTTCCACCCACAGTGTGATTGACCACACTGGAACGCATAGTACCACAATACCATACGTTTCAGTGCAGTGTGATTGCAAACAATTGGGCATGCAGTTTTATTCTGAATTCAACTTTTGGGGGACTTTAGCTAAACTGGAGCAGTTGCCCATGGCAACCAGTCAGCTTCCTTCAGTTCAGTTAGGCTTTGAAAATGAAATGTGATTGGTTGCCATGAACAGCTGTTCCAGATTTGATCAATTCCCCTCTGTGTTTTTTTTACTCGCATGAGCATTTGATGCTACCACAGTGGATGCACATGTCGTCCAGATCACCTGGAACACTGAACACTGAATTTGTGTATTTATTTTATATAAGGATGGTATTTGTATCTGCTTAACCGAAAAAGTAATCGCCCATCTAATCGATTTAAAATATTAAATTAATAGTTGCAGTCAGGATTAAGGGCCCCCTCATGCTGTCGTGGTGCAGAAAGAAGAATTAATGCATTCAGGTGTTAATTCTGGTGAGTTGATAATGGCAACCCAATGCACCTTGCAAATGCATGCGCATTGCAGTGTGGTAAGGCTCTAACGTGCATTTGTAGTGCTCTGTTGCATACAAAGGTGCATGTCTGGCTTTTAGTGCAGTTTGGTGTGTTATCAGCCCTTCCTATAAAGACCTGGCTGCTTTAGTGCAATGCACATTTCACTGCGCTAACACAGCAAACTGAACAGCAACTTTTTTTTTCTCAAGTTTGTGTGCAGTGTGGTCTAGTTCAAGGCAGTAGTATTTTAGGAGGTGACGCTAATCAAGTTGAGGTGTGTGTCTTAAATGGAATGGGAGCCAATGGCAGTCAGACAAAGGTGATGTAACTCTGTATGCCTTGTGTATGAATTGCCAGCCCTATGATCGCACACTCCCTACTAGGAAATCTAGGAGCCAGGTGGTAATGCATATTCTAACCTTTCCTGGAAACGGAGCAACACATTGATTGCGAATAAGCAACTAGTCACCTCACATGGTACACATTCCTGCACCAATGTACTTGTAAGTCTGTAAATGTTTCCTCTTCCTGTAGCTTTGGAATCTGCCCCCATCTGACAGAAGACAACCGAGAATCGATCCAAGGAAAAGACTTGCTTGTGGCCTACTATGATTTAGACTATGACAAGAACCCCAAGGGCTCCAACTACTGGAGGAATAGGTGAGCTGCTCTAAGTTTCATTGTGCAGGCTGACATCAATGTGTGCTTGTAACTTTATTCAGTAAACAAAGTTGATAAAAAGATGGAGATGTGTCTACAGTAACAGGGATAACAAACATGAAGGCTGCCATAACTAACCACCTTGGGATGTTAGTTCCTGGTCATCATGGCAATGTAGTGGCTTCCAAATTTGAGATTGTCATGAAACGTGCACATTTTTGCCTTGGTGCATTCCCGACTCATCTGTGTAATGGTTCCTGGTCAGTGATTATAAAGTATTCTAGCTAGTGTAGCTAGTGGGGTCGGCATAAGCTAGTCAAAGCATTTTTAGAAGGAGTTTAGCAACGCAAGTCTCATTTCTCTGGCTTCTCTTGGAATTTGCGACTTCCTATTTAAGCTTTTGTATCGGCCCTATCAAACTTGTTCGTCATAATCCTACATACTGTCTCAACTCGTGTATCGGCTTGTTTAGTCCCATCATAATCCTGCTTTGTAATGGTAGTGCCAGCAGGGAAAAATCATGCTTGTAACTGCCAATGCAGTTGGTGGGAACTTGGGTGTAGGGATTTTTGGGTTGAGGTAAGGCTGGTCAGATTTGATCCAACCACTATCTGCAAATCAGCCTTGTGTGTCAGGGACTTGAAACATTCCGGTTTGTTTGCCTTGCTAACCAGACTTTATTTATTCTCAGGGTAATGATGGTTGCAAAGAAGTTCCTTGATGCCGGACAGAAGCTCAACTTTGCCGTTGCTAACCGCAAATCCTTCGCACATGAGGTGACTGAGTTCGGCTTGGATTCCAGTTCCAGTGACATTCCTGTTGTCGGAATCAAAACTGCTAAGGGAGAGAAATTTGTAATGCAGGAGGAATTCTCGTAAGTGTCTTATGACTTCCTACTAAAACTTCACACTTGAGTTTATTAAAGAAATTCTGAAGCCACAACAGGCTGATCATATAAAGATGGCCTTCTCAAATGGGAAACCTTCCCACGTCAGTGCTGAATGTTTTGGTTGTTAGTAGGGATGCACTGATGTATTGGCCACCGAAACATATCTGCCGAAAATGGCACATTTGACAAAATGCCAAAAGTGCCTTTTTTCTCTCCCGTTCATTGAAGGACACAGGCAACAGATCGTAGATTCTGAATGGTAGGGTAATATCGCCACCTGCAGGAGAAGGACGCTAGGCACAAAACTAAAGACCAATTACAGCCTAGGGGTGGCCCCTGCCGGTGGCCAAACCCCCCACCTTGTTGGAACTTCGGGCGATTCGCCTCTCTCTCCCTCGTTGGTCAGCCCGGCTCCAGTGTCTGGCGGTTCGGGCCCAGTTGGGTCTCTCCTCCCTGCTGGGCGCTGCTGTGTCCCAGCGGGGAGGAGAGAAACTGCCACAGGAGGCCGAGCGTTGTGGAAGGAGAGCGCTGTGAGCAGCTGGTGATTCTCCTCCCCGCTCTGCCTCCTGTCACAGATCAGGAGGGTGGAGACAGCTATTGCTGTCGGAAGAGGTTGAGCTCTCCTCCCGCCCAGCCTCCTGTGACAGCGTGTCAGGATGGAGAGCGGCGGTGTGGGGGCGAAGACAGCTGTCACAGGTGGCTGAGCTCTCCTCTCGCACCGCCGAACCAGCCTCCTGTGATTGCTTGTACTCTCTCTCCATCCTGACAGCTGTCAGTGATCGCTGAGTGTTTGTAGATATTCGAGTACAGAGTATATTTACTGTGCCCAATTATGAATGAATGGGAAGTGATCTACATTACTAGTTCATTCATGATTGTGCACATGGTAAACATACTATTTCCACTAGAACATGGACACTCAGTATAGAGGATTCCTGTCGATTTATGAAAGGGGTTGCAGTAAAGTTTTGGGCAAAAAATTGTCTAGAAATATAGCTACAATAGGTTTTTCTGTCCTTTTGAGAGTTATACAGGGATCATAAAGTCTCCTGAAAGCTGGTGTAACTAAAATTAAAAAATATTCAGATGGTCAGTAGCATTAACAAAGCATTTTGAGTCCCCCATAAACTGGTTTAATCTGTTGATCCTGCTGTAGGTTTATGCCACTAACTGTAACAGGCCAATTCCTCCCCCTTCCCTGTCCATCCCACCAGTCGGCGCTGGAGAGGGGGAATCCCTGCAGAGAGATTATGACCGAAGCAGTCAGCGGTATGTAATTGCTCAGTTCTCGACTAATAGAGCTGACGTGTGACTTCTTCAGTGTCGCACATCGGCTCTAATTATGGGAATGAGTATTTCACTCTCCCCATAACTCTCCCCCCTTCCCTCCTTTTCAACAAAGCACCAATGTGTAATATGGCGCACTGCAATAGGTTTGTCTTGCCTAGTGTGTTGGTGACTTTTTTTTTTTTTTTTAATGAATGGCACGGCATGCCTTTACTGAGATGTTAGTGTAAATGGGCATTGGGTGAGTGCAGTACATGTAATTATCCCTTCCTCTTCCCTGCTGTGGAAGCATTTCTTGTAAGACTTAATCCGTTTCATTACTATTCCCCCCCCCTCTCTTTTCTCGATAGAAAAACATTGTGGCGCTT